AGGCTTGTGAAATTGCTTAACATGGCTTAATGCATTTACAACTTGATATATAATGACTACATTTGGTACAGTTAATTAATAATGGATTCTTTGTTAAACTGATGACCCCAGAATATGAAGGCAATGTGCTTATATATAATGTGCTTGTATATATTAAGACCACATTCGATTGCACAATTTTATAGAAAAAAAATATTTCTTCTGGCAAGCATACGTGTTACTTCATCTCCCCTCTCGTATTACCTCGCTTCATAGCAAAATGAACCCAGAATATAAAAAGCAACATGCTGCTCAATTGCATGTTAAGTCTTTTCCTTTCAAAGTAAACTGTTGGGCAAAAAAAGCTTAACATTGCTTATTTGATGAATTGGATCACATTAACCTTAATCTTTGTCATTATTTATATTAGAAGAAAACGGGTTAACAATACAGACATAAACATTTATACACAACCTGACAAAAGTCTTGTAATTGATCCCAGTTGTAAGAGCAACATATAATAACTTGACTTCTTGTAGATCATTTGGAAATATGGCAGAAGGTCGATTTTTTCAGATGAATCATCTGCTGAACTGCATCCCAATAATCACAAATACTGCAGAAGGCCTTCTGGAACCCACAAGTCCCAAGACTCTCACAGAAATTAGTCAAGTATGGTGAAGGAAAAATCATGGTTTGGGGTTACATTCAGTATGGGGTGCATGCAAGAGATCTGCAGAATGAATGGCAACATCAACAGCCTGAGGTATCAAGACATTTGTGCTGCCCATTACATTACAAACCACAGGAGAGGTCAAATTCTTTAGCAGGATAGTGCTCCTTCTTATACTTCAGCCTCCACATCCACAAAAAAGCAAAGAAAGTCAAGGTGCTTCAGGATTGGCCAGCCCAGTCCCCAGACACAAACATTACTGAGCATGTCAGGGGTAAGATGGAGAAGGCACTAAAGATGAATTCAAAGAATCTTGATGAACTTTGGGAACTCTCAGGATGCTTTTATTAATAAGTTATTTGAGTCATTGCAGAGATGTATGGATGCAGTCCTCCAAGCTCATGGGAGTCATACACAATATTAATTATTTTTCCACTGCACTATGACTTTATATTCTATACTGAACATTATTTCTGCTAAGTGACAAGACTTTTGTCTAAGCAAGATCAGACCTTACTGTCCTAATTAAGTAATTAAAAATCAAGGCATGATCATATTTTATTTAGCTAAAATTAGCGTAATCTTAAGGCCTTCGCCTTTCATATAAGTCACCTCTGATACCAAATGATCAACTAGAAGTCAAGTTATTATTTGTTGTTTCTAAAACGTTGATAGGCGACAAGACTTTTGTCAGGTAGTATGTCTATAGATTTTTAGCAAAGTGTATATCCAGTTTTGTTTTTATATATCACTTAATATTTATATAACACATTGGACCTTAAGTCTACGTTTATTAAGTCCATTGCTGTTCCTAGAGGCAGATTCTGTTTCGTACACAGGATGCAAGTGAGTGTAGGACTTGTGATAAAACAATAGAACCATTATGATCCGTGATTCGAAGTGTGTTCAGAGTGGCAGTACTCGACAAATGCTGGACCATTGTTGTGCATGTATCTCTCCCACTTTCACACATGAGTGGGCGGGGCTAAAGAAGCAATGATGCAGAAGTAGGAGTTGATCCATCTTCTGCAGTGACTGTCTTTCCTTGCACTATTACGCCATACTGAGGTCAAATCTGAAACTAGACGCCTGGCAACCTGCTTTCAGTTAAACCCGTTTTTGGATTAACAAATTTATTACAGGATGTTTTTTAAATGCGATGATCTCATATATGTCAAAGGATCAAAGGAGGCTTGATTTCTCAATTCATGACCCCTTTAAAATATGGGTTAAAAATCTCTAAGCAATGTGTTTACCCCAAGAAACAGGATCAAATCATCTCACTCAAAAGCACAGCATGGAGCAGGGAAATAAATAATTGCAGTAATGGCACTCCTCTGGTTCCATTAAGCGCGAACGCAGCCACACAGCCCTCCTAATGCAGAAACATCCAAATCCACATAAATGGCTTCTCTCTAAGGCAGGGGTGGCTGAAATCCAGAGAATACTAAAAATCTAGGTCAATGGATTGCTGCACAGCTATGATGACTCCCTCCTCCGAAGTGTGTGTGCGTTATGCTTATGAACGAATGAAGACCAAACAGTCTGACCAGTAATCCAAGTAAAGAAAAAAAATAATATGTGTTTATACGTGGATTATGTGTGAACAACATGCAAGCTTTGCATTAATCCACGGATGAATGTGGTAATGCTAATTAGAATTTCATTTAATGCATTGGATTTGTAATGTACTCTTTATCCATCTTGAAGCCATATTTCAAACACTCCAAATTTCAGACAGGTCTGAATGAGTAAGGAGCTGGCAGATGAGTACACAAAGACTTGTCCTGCATTATTCAAGTGTTTTAAAGGCAGTGGCTGCAGGCATGTCTTCAGCTTCGCAAGCTTTACCTGCTTTCAAATGAAGACTGCAGAAATCAAATAGACAACAAACATGTTGGCGGTCTATAGTCAAGTGATTCATGTCATCTGAGAATTGTGTATTTTTAGCAGTCCCTGAGAGGGAACAAACGTCAGAAGATATCATTATGTTCATGGCTGCTTTGCTGCATATATTAATGCAACAAAATTGCGGGTCCTTTTATAATGAAACGTTATTGCAGATATAAAGAAAACAGCAGAGCATTTGCCATCTGAATCCCACTCAGTTTCTCCAGTCGGTGCCTAGCAACACTTTTTCAGCAGAATACACAAAATTAGCAGGGTAAGCGTGACCACAGCCTCAAAGCCATCGCTTGGTGAAGCCGAGCCTACAGATTCCTTGAAACTAGATCTGCACACAATGCCAAAGGTTTCCATACTAAAAGAAACACGTTCTCTAACTCAAAGGATCCTGTGGGTGAACGTATCTTCTGAGGGTTACACTAGACCAAAGTCAATAAAATGCCATTAAATCTGTGATATGAATTTAGTTTGTTTTGACTACACTATATGTAATCAATACATTACATAGAATGTAGTCCTGCATAAAGGCAACAGACAATTGAATAAAATGCATTGCTCAAATTACTGTAAAATGTCTCACAGGCCACTTTATTAGGTATGAGTTTAACTGCTCGTTAATGCAAATATCTAACAAGCCAAACACATTTCATTTTATAAGTGATCAAGAGGGTCTGATCAAGTTCAAAGCAAGCATTAGGATAGATTTTTTTTTTGTTAGTGGCTTTGAATGTGATGCTGTTGGTGCCAGATGGGATGGTCTAAGTATTTCAGAGACTGCTGATCTGCTAGTGTTTTCATGCACAACAATCTTTGGGATTAAACTGCCTGAAAATATCAGTCACCAGATCTTAATCAAATACAGATCCTTTTGGGATGTGCTGGAATTAAAGATTTGCATCATAAATGTGCAGCTGATGAATTTGCAGCAAATAAATGATGCTATCGCTTTAAATTGAGCCAAAATCTCAGAGGAATGTTTCCAAAACCTTTTTTATTTATCTCTGCTACAAAGTATTACGATAGTTCTGATTGCCTAAGGGGTTTGGGTCAAGGCACGTTTGGGGTTTGGTTGAAGGCAAGTTTATTCATGTAGCACATTTCATACACAATGGTAATTTAAAAGGATTTACATAAACAAGAAGATTACAGGGATAGTTCACCCAAAATTCTTTATTTACCAACTGTTTTTTTCTCCCTCAAGTAGTTCCTTTTGAGTTACCTTGTAAAAACAAAACAACAACAAAAAATATTGAAGTAATGGTACTAGTTTCCAACATTGTTAAAAAATCTTCAAAATAAAGACATTTATAAAGGTTTGAAACAAGTAGGTGAGTAAATTTCATTTTTGGAATCTTTTAAAGCATCATAAAATAATAACACTAATATAAGAAATAAAAAATACAAAAAAAATGATAATTAAAACAAGTTTAAAAGGAAGGAAATTTAAAAATTGTATTGGGTGCATAGCGCGTCTTGTCTCATACTAGCAAGATATATGCAACAAAGTAGCCAACAGATGTGCTTGTTTGCAGTCTGCTAATCCAAATGGAGCAGAGTTTGAGAGGATCTGTCCGTGGTCCTGAAACCAGAACATACCCCAAGATCCCCCCTAAACTTACACCAGAGCTGATCTCTGTGAAGGCATGTGGGATTTGAGCTCAAGCACTGTGAATAGATCAATCAAGTTCTGAGGTGATAATTCATATCACAGCCTAACTAATTCATGTTCCAATCTAGCACAGTAATTGCAGGAGTATATTTGGAAATCTGGAGAAGCAGGGTGCGATGCTTGTATCTTTCCAGCTGTCATTTTCCTTTAAGATGATGTAAGGCTCATCTCCCTAAGAATGGTCTCCCTCCCCCGTCCAAAGCCTCTCTCAGCACGCTGCATTCATTCGCACTACGCTGCTGATGCTCTGGAGAGTAAGGATGCACAAACTTCCCAATGCACCCTCCTTTTCTGCTTGAGATGCTTTTACTGATATCCTGGGTGAGTGCCAGGTACATGTAGACTAACTATTCTGGACGGAGAAGGTTTCCTAGGAGAGAGAGAGAGAGGGAGGGAGAGAGAACAAGAGAGAAGCGCTCTTCTGAAGGAAGTTGAAGCTGTCTGGGTTGGTGCAGTTTTTCATTTTTTATAAGCAGAACTTATTTTTGGATTTTCTGCTGGATGAGCTGCACAATTGGTTCCCTCGGGTGAGAGCTCGTCTATTTTTACCTTTCAATAAATAACAGGCAATGCATATTCATCTATGTAACGTGGGAGAAACCGAGTAGTCTCATGCTGTCGATTTGCTGCATTTATACATTTATAAACACTCTGCAGGTCTCAGAGATGCTGTATGTAGCACGATGGACGATGAACGTCTATTAGAAAGTGGGCAGGTTATGTTCTTCTTTACTTTCTGCACGCTGAAATCGAGTCGAAAACTTTTGCGTCTTCACGTTTTTTGAAGAGTAACACACCGAAATGGCCCTGACTGAAAATTGCAGGACTTATCAAACGCCCAAGGACAGTGGATGTGCTCAGAGTTGCTCTTCTGATGTGGTGGAGCTCAATGTAGGTGGACAGGTGTACTACACTCGCCATGTCACCCTCACCAGTGTGCCAAACTCACTGCTGGGTAAATTGTTCTCCTCTAAAAAAGACATTTCTAACGACCTCACGCAGGACATCAAGGGACGCTACTTCATCGACCGGGACGGATTTCTCTTTAGGTACGTGCTGGACTATCTCCGCGATAAGACTGTCGTCCTGCCGGATTATTTTCCGGAGAAGGGGAGGCTGAAACGCGAAGCTGAGTTTTTCCAGCTGCCCGAGCTCGTCAAAATCCTAACCCCAGATGATTATAGTCACAGTGATTTTGACGAAGCATCCCAGGGAAGCGACCAGAGGTTATATCCAGCCTCTTACCTGGACGCGCGCGACCGACGCTACGGCTTCATCACGGTCGGGTACAAGAGCTCGTGCGCATTCGGGAGGGACACTGATCCCAAAGCCCGCGGAATACCCAAAATCTTCATTTGCGGAAGAGTCGGTCTGGCGAAAGAAGTTTTCGGCGACGCACTAAACGAGAGCCGGGATCCTGACAGACCGCCGGAGCGTTACACTTCTCAGTTTTACCTGAAGTTTCGCCACCTGGAGCGAGCGTTTGATATGCTCGCGGAGAGCGGGTTCCACATCGTCGCGTGCAATTCATCACTCACCACATCTCCCCACAACAGGCATGCTGATGATAGATACTGGTCCAACAACACAGAGTACGTCTTCTATCGTAAGTACAGCTTATTTACTCTTTACGTTGTATTACAAAAAGAAAGAAAATAAAGCCATTTGGCAATGCTGGGTAGTTACTGATCAGATGAGATGTAATCTGGATTACGTAATCAGATTACAAAATGGAGTACTCGTAGTTAGATTATATTGCTTCTTAATATGAACATAATCAGATTACAGTTACTTTTTATGAATTACATGATTACATAGAGCATTAGTAACCCAACAGCATCCCACTTTTTTCTCTTATCATTTTTTCTTTCTAGTATGTCTTTCTAGTATGACTTTATTAGTATGTGTACAATTTGACCTAAAATGAGCCTATTTAGTTTACATTTCCCTGTTTGAAAGTTAACATTCCAGCAATTTAACAACATGCATTATTCTGTTGTCTGATCACATTACTGATGTGTGGGTCAATAGATAAAATGTTATAAATATGATAGGTCGAAAAATATTTATATACTGTACAAAAGTTGTCAGAAAACAAAACCAAAAGAGTAAAAATGGTTAATTGATTGGTCAGTGGTCAGTTACCAAATGGTTAAAAATGAAATCTAAAAACAATTGCCAATTTTAATTGAAATTACTTTATCTCAATCAGTATTCAAACTTTTTTTTGACGACAAAATCTTAAATTCTAAATGCTAAAATATTAAAGTAAATCAAGGGCGTGCATGAAGCTGTGACCACCAGGCGGCGTACTCTGATAGTTTGCTCATTTTTGTCCTGGACACTTTCAGGATTTGCCTTGAATAAAAAGATTGTGCTCATTTCTCCAGGTGACAAATGCACTTCCTGTTAAGTATTAGCAGACTGAACTGAGACTGAGTGTGTCCGCTCAGAACATTGGTAGAAAAGAAACAGAACCAGAGAGAGAGAGAGAGAAAGTGGGAGAGGCTTTTGAGCCAATGCAGATGTGGACAATTCCCTCAAGTCTAGCTCTCAGGGATATGAACAGAGTGTGGTATGAATATTTCAGTAATCTACCACAGCGATGGTCATGTCGCTCAGCCGTTTCCTCCCTCCCTCTCTCTCACTCGCTCTTTCTCTCTTTACTTAAGTAAGTAAGTACAAATACATGTAAGTGGACCTTTTGAATATACATTTGTTCTCCAGCGCTTGCCTGCATTATCGGTTCATTTGACTTGTATTGTCTTAAATGAGAGAGATGTTGCAGCATATGGCCAATTAAAAATCACTTTGTGCTTAATTCCAAATGAGTCCCCTTGGAAATCCTAAAAAGAGTAGGCCTGTAATGGAGCGCTTCAGGAGGACAGTCACAAGATTTGGGGCGATTGGACATATGGTTGCTTAATGATTTGTTTTCTGTCATCAGTATAATTACTGCAGCACTCAACCTCTCTTATAGCCCACAAATAAGGGAGAAAAAATATGACACATAGAAATATGTAATAAGGTGATGAGTCTATATGAAAATCAGTTGCAAAAGTGATATTGCGTTTTAAATGCACCCTCTGCTTTTTTAAAAATCTCTTATTATCAGTGGTGTAAATGAATAAATTACAAATTACTGTAATTGAGTAGTTTTTCTCAGGAATTGTAATTTACGAAGTAGTTTTAAAAATGTGTACTTTTACTTTGCCTTGAGTACATTTTTTAAAGCAGTATCAGTACTTTTACTCCACTACGTTCCTTCAACCTGCAGTCACTACTTTATTTTTTTCTGTCTATGGTGATTGGGAAAAATCAGTCCTGCAAGTCCAATCAAAAAGCACACAGAAGGTACAGTAAATCGCATCATAATGAACTACCTCAAGAAATGGGCGATTTAAAATTGTGGCAAACTGTTTGGAAGTGTTAAAAATGTCCAAGAACATGTCCAAAATCTTTACTCGCATTGACCAAGAGAGTGTTTAGATGCATGTCACTGATGAGAAGCTGACCGATGTTTAATGTATGATGAACAAAAGGGCCTTAAACACCCTGCAGGCATAAGACACCAACATGACGTCAGATTGACGCTGTATCCCACCGTCGTAGGGACGATGCATTTTGTCTGTAAATGACAATCGGTTTGACTTCAGGATCCACCATCAGGCCGACGTCAATGTCCAACATCCAAATCAATAGGTAATAATGTTACAGTTTGACGTTGTTTGGACGTTACCACTATGACATCTATCAGACGTTGGATTTTGGTTGCCATACTTGACAAATAAATGTTAGTATTTAATGTCAATATGGTTTAAGATGTTAGCTCGATGCTGGATGTTGGTCACTCACTCTCACAACCTAAAACTGATCTAAAATCAATGCCATTTGACGTCGTTATTGGAGAACAAACTAATGTTATCCTTAGACGCTGGATAGACATTAAATTTTGGTCACCTGACATCACAACCTAAATCTAACTTTATATTAACGTCTTATGATGTTGTGTGCCTGCTGGAAAATAACTAAATGCATTACATAATGTTACGTTTATACACATCCACAAATTATATGTAAATGCATCAGCTTTTTACAGTGTAATACTCACTACTCAGTACTTGAGTGCTTTTCAAAGGGCTACCTTTTACTCATACTTTGAGAAATATTTATAACAGGTCCTTGCTCTAATTGCTCTACATTTTTAGGCAAGTAATGGTAATTTTACTTAAGTATGATTTTTCAGTACTCTTACCATCACTGGTTATTAATTTTAGTTTTCCTTTAAAAAACTAATGGAATTATCCCTGGTGACTTATACAAATGTCAATCTTTTAGTTCACTTAAACATGCTCCTGCTGCTTCACATTCGTTTGACACATTTTTAAAAATCTAATCAACCTAAAAAAATGACATAAAACCAATAGGCATGGGACATTAACTGTTTTCAAGTTGTACTGTGGTTTGGAAAAGTCAGGGTTTTAAAATCACCAACATTTTCTGCTATACCATACCTAATGTATGTATAAGATTTTTTTATTTACTTTTTTTAGGACAACAGTATCCCTAGCAGAAAATGTATCAAAAGATGCCATTTTAAATAGTAATTAGTCTGTTTTTGAATTCAATGAAGACAGCAGAAGTCAGTGATTCATTTATTTAGCCAGACATGTTTACTGCTCTGCTATTTTAAATGTTTTTCAAAATAAAATATATTGTGTTCAAAGAGGAAAAAAGTTTCAGTTTTTTACTCAGACATTTAAAAAGAACACATTTTAGAGCAGTGAGCACAATACCGTCAAACTGTGATATTTTTATCCAAACTTATCATACCATCAGATATAATTCCAGCCCATTCCTAAAGCCAAGTCCCTTTCTTACCTTTTTATGAGTGGCCCAGTTTACACCTGGTATAAAGATTAAGAGTTTTTGTCAATCCAGTCACAATTGGATAAATCTAAATACAGGTGTTAAATCATATGGCTAGTTTATTTTCCACCTCTTCCAGAAGTAGTCAAAATTTTGGATTTTAAACACACATCTGGTTTAAATGTGTTTGAACAGTCATTAAAGTTGTCTGCCTGTTGATTGTTACATGGGAAATTGCACTAAAACAAAGTATTCATATTTAGCTGCATGTACCAAAACACTTGGATATTTATCAAAATCTGAATCAACCATTTAATCTCTGAGCAAAATACAGCAGAAGTATTTCTTTTATGAACAAATCAGTGATGTGATTATAATGGGAATCTTGCAATATTCTGATTAAACTTTGTTGTCTAAACACAGTACTTTCACCCGATACAAAGATAAAGCCCTTTCCAGCCCAGACTCTTTGAGAAAACCTTCATCAGCAGCCTGCATATTTGAGAAACGTAAAATGAAGTTGCTCCAGGGACGTATCGTTGCATGTTTCCATCCCAATCTTATGAGCAAACCTAACTGTTTAAGTATTGTCAGAAAAATGTCTAATTCCTATGATTTCATATGATTTCGTTTGAATGAAAATGTATGATTAGGTCTGTCACAATAATCAATATATTGACTTATCGCACGACACATGTACATGACCTTATTCATTTTTGGTGATGCAATATAAATCGCCTATAAATTAAAACCAATTCTGGCAACATCTTAGCTGATTGTGCATCATCTCTATTGGAGGTGTCAGTGTCAGTATGGGTTGAACACTATAGTATTTACAATAAATGACTATAGTATAATTTCATGTGGGTGTCTGACAACTGAAAGTAGATCTGGCAGCAGATATCTCAGCCTTGGTTACTTTTTTACTTTGCACTTTTTGTTAAGATTTATTGTTAGTTATTAAAGATATGCATTTTCACATTCTGATTCCAATGCCTCTTTAAATTGTTAAAATAACTATAATAAAAATAAATATTCTTAAGAATAAAGTATGATGCATTCTTTGGAAGAGTGTACTTGCATTGTAATGATATTATATTGTCATTCTGGCATTACACAATGAGTGGCATAAAATAGTCTTAAAATGACAATAATGTCATTTATTGCAATATATTTTGGTGCAATATATCATGACAAAATATAGGTATCGAGGCATCCATCTACACCCTACCCCTCATATCAAATTTAAATATAAATGGGATCATACAAATGAATCCGAATTAGTCACTTAATCAATAAGTGAAAATTGCTGTGAGATTGCTTTGCAAGTTTCAGATTACAATGAGGGCACAGTCTACATTTTTTGCAATAGGGGTAAGTTTTAACATGTCCATGAGAAGGACTTGTTGGGCTTGTTGTATAGATCACCTAAACTAGTGAACCACTGATGTAAACCCTTCTGTAAACCCAACCAATGGTGTCTTTAAAAGCAAACATAAGGGAGATCATAGACAGCGTTAAGTTGTTTTGCAGTACTTATTTTGTTTTATGCAAAGAAGTGCATAAGATAGATCTTCTATTTATCGATAATATGGCACTGTAATTATCATTAGTGTAAAAAGGAACTACAGTTGTTGGCATCAAGCTGCCCCATAGCATTAATTTTTCCTAGAAAATACAGAAAAATGTATGTTTAAGTAAATTTTTGAGGGTTCACTAAAAAGTATGGTTTCCAATGAACCTGTGTAGGCTCTTTCATACAGCCATTCGCAGACCCTGCACTGTAAAAATATCCATTAATTAACAGGTTCTGTTTTTGTAAT